TATACTGGTGGTTCAAGATTATTCTTCTCCTTTTTACCTTGTCTCCAGTTTACAATGAGAACAATGCTCAGCATGCAAACCACCAGTATGTTTCCCAGCAAAAGAATAAAATATGTGGCTTGCATGCTGGCACAACATTCGGGGATCGGCCTCTGGAGCACAACGGCTGGCTGCGCCGTCCAAAGGAGGCCCTCACAGGTTCGTTTGTTTTTGGTGTGCAAGGCATTTCCGTCCCTGGAGAAAAGTGCCTTGGAAGTACTGGTGGTTTAAGTGAGCCAGAGAAGCAGTACATCCTTTCCAAAGGGAAATAATCAAACTGCAGAAAAATAATCTTAAACACTAGGGAGATATCCCGGGTGCCCAGGTCCCGACGTCACTCCCGGTTCGGCGACCGGGTGACCGGCCGGGGATGACTCCCGGCATCCCCAGCGCAAAAAAAAAAAAAAAAAAAAAAAAAAAAAAAAAAAAAAAAAAAAAAAAAAAAAAAAAAAAAAAAAAAAAAAAAAAAAAAAAAGCCTCCAAAAAAATCTGAAAAACAAGTATGTTGTGTAGAATTGCAATACAAACAACTTTTGGCTAAGGGTCACATCAGAATTCCTCACGGAACTGAAGATAAAAAAAAAACAAAAACAAATCACGCTAAGGCACCCCCCTTTAAACCCCTTTAGCCCCTTTAAGATTTAAAATTCATTTATACTCCCCTTCCCCCCCCGCAAGAGCCCGGATTTGGGCTCCTTTCAGAGAGAGCGGAAAAACCCCACCGCCAAAATTTTTATTATTATTTGTTTTTAATGTTTTTCCCCCATGCCCGGGTATCCTGGGCGTCAGACCCCTCCGGGTGTCACACCCGGGCGACCGGCCGGTCCAGACCGACCGGTCATGAAAATCTTCCTAGCTTAGTTAGACGGGAGAAGAATACAGAGACAAGGTAAACAGGAGAAAATAACCTTAAACCACCAGTACGTTTCCCAGCCCAAGAATAAAATATGCGCCTTGCATGCTGCCGCAACTTTCCGGGCTTGGCCTCCAGAGCAAAATGGCTGGCGGCACCGTCCAAAAGGAGGCCCGGCGCCCGTTCGTTTTTTTTGGTGTGCAGCCCTGGAGAAATGTGCCTCAGAAGTACTGGTGGTTTAAGTGAGGCAGAGAAGGAGCACATCCTTCCTCATCATGTACGATACACTGGACCCGGTTTCCAGCTATTGGAACATAAGCTTCCTTTGAAAAAAGCAAAAAACCTAGGCTACCAGAGTGGCCCGGGACCACTTGCCCGGTCGGGCCAAAAAAAAAAAAAAAAAAAAAAAAAATTCTGGTGTTGTGCACACTAGTATCATTTTGATTCTGGCACAAGATGTCCTCCACGAGAGTAAAGCCTCACATTTTGTGCAATCTATAAGAATGAGTTTTTAAATTTTGTGTTTTATTTTAAAGTTGGTAAAGAATTTCCCTTTTATTTCCATTATCAAACCGGGAAACGCCCGGCGTCCCTCACATGAATGCCGTAGATGTGACCCTGAGGCAAAAGTTGTACAGTTCAGGGTTGCCGGTGTTTGGGTTCAGCCAAACTCTCGAACCCCGAACCTGCCGAACGTTCGGCCCCCTTTGGCGATGCGTTTTGCCGTTCGGGCCGAACGCGGACATAAAAAAAAAAATCTAAAAATTCTGAAAACTCTGAAAAAAAAAAATGCTATGCACAAAAATACAACGAACAACATTTGCCTCAGTGTTACATCCGAATGCGAGGATATGGGTCCCCGGCAGGCCTAAGGGGCCCCCTGCAGCATATGTGCCCGCCCTAAGTGAAGGCGAGCCGAACAAATCACGAGAGGCCCTTGGGTGTCAATTTCGCATTTGGGGTCCAGGCAGTTTCGTCGCGCCAGTTGGTTGAAGGGAAACACAGGCCGAGCAGCGTGGAAATTCCCAGGCCTTCTAGGCCTTTCCAAAATCACAGGCCCTGGGCGAGATTCGCAGCCTCATACACAGACAGTTGGGAGGCCCAACCGAATGAGGCCCAGTAGCTGCACCAGAGGCGCAGCATCCTAGGGCCTACCGGAAGCTTCTGGGCCCAGTCCAGTCCAGCATTCTGCCGAACGAGGCAGGCTCTTTCCGTATAGGAAAGAGCTCGCTGCCTGGCCAGTCATTAGGGCACTCGCATGCTGGCGGCAGCGCTGCTGGAGCTGAAGCTCGTGGGCTGCTGCTAGCGCTGAGCAGCGAGGTGCAGGCACGTGCGGTCGTGCAGGGAGTAGGGCGCTGCTGAGGGCAGCGCCATAGCCCAGCCTCCATAGCTGGCAGGGCTTGGATGAACAGTGAGGCGCAGGGGTGGTCTTCGGGTGTACAACAAAGGGAGACGTGGGTGTAAGTCAAGGGAGAGAGAGAAGGATGATGATGATGATGATGTGAGGGCACATACCTGGTATTGGCGATGGTTCTGCATGAGCGACATCTTCAAGTACTTCGGGTGCTGCTGACGTCAACAGTTGCATTGTCAATTAGTAGGCTAGTAGTAGCTGTGTAGGGAGTAGGCTGGGCGCCGAGCGCCAAGTAGGGAGATAGAGACTGGATACATATGTTGGTGGTGGCGAGAGCAAGCTCTCATTGACATTGACTGTCAGTGCTACGATTCTCCATTGGTGTTATATTGGTGCAATGGGCGCTGGACCCGTTTTCCAGCAGGTGATGCTCCCCACCAATAAATGGAGCAATTTTCAAAAAAAGGGACGCTGGACCCGGTTTCCAGCAGGTGATGCTCCCCACCAATAGATGGAGCTGGTTTCAAAAAAA